GTCAAATTCAACATAATGTTCTAGATTTCGTGAAATATTCTCTAGTTTGAACTCGTTTTGTGCAAAAAAAATCAGTTTTTTGATGCACCACAATCTGATATTTACAAGTCGATAGACTCATCTTATAAATCATCTTGTTTCAAAATGTGGAGCACGAACGTGGTAAAGCATGTATAAAGTGTAGAATATTTCACATAATCTAAAAGATTCCACTAAATTTGAAACCGGAAAGGTGGATTTGTAAGAATATTTATAATTGAGGGGATTGTTATAATTACCCAAACAAGATGCAATTTTTCGTAATTTGACATTAACTCAGGAGTGACCGTAATTTACCCGATAATAAAATATAGCAAAATAGCTAGTTAAAATGGTTTTGGGTTTGGGAGGGTAAAATGGTACATCACTATCAATTTCTATTTCCTGCGTCTGCTATTGTCATAACTGAATAAACAATAAACTAACTCTTCTCCGACAGTCCACCCGCTCTCTCTCTCTCTCTCTCTTCTTTCTCTCTCTTCTTTTCTCTCTCACAGTAAGCTTCACTTCTCTCTCTCTCTCACACACACACACACACAAACCCACTCACACACACACGCACATGCAGGGGAACAACGGACAATCGAGCTCAGGCGAGATTCCGGCGAAGCCGGAGGAGCGGCCACCGGTGTCAAAGAAGTTCAAAACGACGACGTCCTCCTCCGACGATTCCCAAACCCCACCACACTTCCCCGGCCCGCTATTCCCCGCCGTCCGCCGCCTCTCCCCCACTCCCTCTTTCAATTCCACCACCTCCTCCTCCTCCTCCTCCACCACCACCACCACCTCCCCCCGCGGCGGAGGCAACACCACCACCAGCGATGCCTTCAGCTTCAATTTCTCGGATCGGGACTACGTCTTCCCCTCCAATCTCGGCCCCTACTCCACCCGCCGGAGCGTCACCGTCAAATCCCCCTCCCCTTCCTCATCTTTCCCCAAATCTCATCAACCCCCGCCGCAATTTCCGGCCCGCAGCACCTCCATGCCACCCACTCTAAGCAGCACAGTGGGCCCGGCCCGCGGTCATACTGCTAAGCCGAAGCTAAAATCCGACAATGATTTAAAAACGCTGTCGTTTCAGCCCTCCGTCTCAACTTCGTTAGGTCTGGTTCCTGCATCGTCGATCGTGCCCGAAACTCGCGATTCATCAAATTCTTCCACTGCTCGCGAAAATTCCGGATTCAGACATTCTTGGAAGGTATATATGGTGAGTAATTTCATCATTAATTTCTCCGATCTTTTTTTCCCCCCTTTTTTTATTTCAATAATGGTGACCTAAAAATCTCTTATTCAATTGCAGCTCACAGTTATCTGCTTCATATCCATTTCGTATTCTCTTCTCTTACGAAACGAAGTCTCGAGGCTTCAAGTATGTCCGATTTTTCATTTTCGATACTACATTTACGATTGTGTAATAACTAACTAATTAGTCTTCAATATATTAATCGCGAAATTCCGAAAACTATTACAGGAAGAAAACAACAACCTTCGTAGATTTCGCGAAAACCCCGTCGGTGACAATGGAATCGAAAATTCGGAACTCGAAAACGGGAGTTCGTCTCGAGCGATAGCTCTATACACGGTCGTAGTCACCCTCGTAACACCATTCGTACTCTACAAATACCTCGACTACCTCCCACGAATAAAAAACTTCTCGAATCGGAAAAAAGGCGATTGCAAAGAGGAAGTTCCGTTAAAGAAAAGAATTGCGTACACGGTGGACGTTTGTTTCTCGGTTTACCCTTATGCGAAGTTGCTAGCGCTTCTCTTTGCAACTTTGTTTCTGATCGGATTTGGAGGGTTGGCTATGTATGCGGTGAGTGACGGTAGTTTTACGGAAGCGCTTTGGCTCGCCTGGACTTTTGTGGCGGACTCGGGGAATCATGCGGATAGGGTTGGGAGTGGGCCCCGCATTGTTTCGGTTTCGATAAGTTCGGGTGGGATGCTTATATTTGCGATGATGTTGGGGCTTGTTTCCGATGCGATTTCGGAGAAGGTGGACTCGTTGAGGAAGGGAAAGAGCGAGGTTATTGAGTGTGATCATATTCTTATTCTCGGTTGGAGCGACAAGTTGGTAATTTTTTTAGTTTTTTTTTTTTTTTTTATTTGATGATGTTAGATTGTGAAATTTGGAATGTGTTGTGGGGTTTTTGTAATTTGATTGTGATATTTGGAATGTGTTGTGGTTTTTTGTAATTGTGTTGCGACTAGTGGTGGGAATCGGACGGATCTGATTGGAATTTGGCACTTTCGGAAAAACTAAATCCAATTCCTTTCTGAAAGATTTATTTTTTGGAAAAATCATAAACCAGAATTTCGGAAATTGGAGTGAAAAAACTTGTGTTCTAAAATTGGAAATTTTCGGTTTGAAAATTGAGGGAATTCGGAAATTTTATTCTTTTTAGTCACATTTAACATAAAATGCATACTAATATTGGTATTCGGAGTGTTTGATTTTCGAAAAATAATTGAAATTTTCGGGAATATTTTTGGAAATTAAAATCGGATCGGAAATTGGAATCTAATATGTATTCTAATTCCTTTCCAAAACAAAAAAGTAAATATCGGTATCCATAATGAAAAATATTGTTCCAAAATGGGAAATTTTCGGATCACAATAGGCGGAATTCGGAAATTCCGTTCCAATTTCCACCCCTAATTACAATGTAGTATACAAGTGTTGTCTTAATTTATTTTTTCTAATTGTTGTTTTTCTTCTTTTCGGATTTTTTTTAATTATTATTATTAATTTAATTTTTATTTTTATATCTCGAGGGGTTAACAAATGATACTCGATTATTACAGGGTTCGCTACTGAAACAACTAGCAATAGCAAACAAAAGCATAGGTGGCGGTGTAATTGTGGTACTAGCAGAAAGAGACAAAGAGGAAATGGAAATGGATATAGCAAAGCTCGAGTTCGACATGATGGGAACTTCCGTTATCTGCAGAAGCGGTAGCCCCCTTATACTCGCCGATTTAAAAAAGGTTTCTTCATTAAACTTTAATTAATATTCCCTTTTTCCACCTGGCGGATCGATAATTTTTTTCGTTTTTCATAATAGGTCTCCGTCTCAAAAGCACGTGCAATCATTGTATTAGCATCCGATGAAAATGCTGATCAGGTCTTACTTTTTTTAATTTTTTTTTCTTTTTTGCGTAGTTTTAGTTTTCGCACGACTATATATGATTATTTATTGTTTTGGGATTTTTTCGTATATTAGAGCGACGCACGAGCTTTACGGGTTGTGCTTAGCTTAACCGGAGTTAAAGAAGGGTTAAGAGGACATGTTGTAGTGGAAATGAGTGATCTCGATAACGAGCCTTTAGTGAAGCTTGTCGGAGGTGAACTTATCGAAACAGTTGTAGCGCACGATGTGATTGGTCGATTGATGATACAGTGTGCTCTCCAGCCTGGCCTTGCACAGGTCAGCTAAATTGCAATTATGTTAAATATTATTTTATAATCACATTTAATTTAGCCGGTTAAAGTCGGGTTTTTTTTTATTGGACAGATATGGGAAGATATATTGGGTTTCGAGAATGCGGAATTTTACATCAAAAGGTGGCCTGAATTGTACGGTTCGTGTTTCGAGGATGTGCTTATTTCGTTCCCCGACGCAATTCCTTGTGGGGTGAAGGTTTTTGCCGAGCGTGGGAAAATTAAAATAAATCCGGACGATAAATATGTTTTACGAGAAGGTGACGAAATCCTCGTCATCGCTGAGGATGATGACACTTATGCCCCTGGTCCTTTGCCGAATATACGGAAGGGCCTCGCCCCTAAAACAACCGATCCTCCGAAATTCCCGGAAAAGATTCTTTTTTGCGGTTGGCGACGTGACATTGATGATATGATTATGGTGATTTATTTATTTTGTATAAATATTTTAGGGTCGTTTCTCGTTATTATTTAAAAAAAATGTTTATTTTGAATTATTATTAGGTATTAGAAGCTCTATTGGCTCCAGGATCGGAATTGTGGATGTTCAACGAGGTTCCCGAAAAGGACAGAGAGACAAAGTTGACAGATGGCGGTCTCGATATTTCGGGATTGGTCAACTTAAAATTAGTACATCGAAAAGGGAGTGCGGTTATACGACGCCATTTAGAGAATCTTCCGTTAGAGACATTCGATTCTGTAAGTATTGGTCACCCTTCGTTTTAATAATGTCGCATGAGTTAAGCTTCGAATATAATTTTCGATTGAAGTAAGTAACCGACCGAAAGAAATGTGATTAATTACAAGATTATGATGACGTGGCAATTACTAACTCTAAGAGAACAGATTTTAATTCTTGCAGATGAATCCGTTGAAGACTCAATTGTTCAGTCCGATTCTCGATCTCTTGCCACTCTCCTCCTTATCAGAGACATACAGGTTCGTCTTTTTTTTTTTCTCTTTTTTTTGTTTCTTTGTTAAAAATCAAATGACATAATATTTATTCTACGTAAATAATTTTCAATGTCCAAAGAACTTATAAAAAGGGCATGCGTTTTTACTGCAGTCAAAACGACTTCCGTACAAAGACAGTAAATCCCGTCCTTTAAGACACACTGTATTCTCGCAAAGTTCGTGGATTAGGGAAATACAGCAAGCTTCAGACAAGTCAATAATTATAAGCGAAATACTAGATTCAAGAACTAGGAATCTCGTGTCTGTAACAAGAATTAGCGACTACGTACTATCGAACGAGCTAGTCAGCATGGCTCTCGCCATGGTGGCGGAAGACAAACAAATCAACCGCGTACTCGAAGAGCTTTTCGCCGAAGAGGTATTCTTGAAAAAAAAATTAATTTTTTTTTAATATTCTTTTTATTCATGATATAATGAGTGTAATAATACGGGACAGGGAAACGAGATGTGCATAAAGCCGGCGGAATTCTATCTGTACGACCAAGAAGAATTGTGTTTCTACGATATAATGACAAGGGGTCGTCAGAGAAAGGAGATAGTGATTGGGTATCGATTAGCGACAGCGGAGCGAGCCGTGATAAACCCTGTAAGCAAATCCACGCCGCGTAAATGGTCGATCGAAGATGTTTTTGTAGTCATTTCATCGGATGAATGACAAGACTTGAATCGTCTTCTTACGGGTTTTTGAGGATGAAGAGGGTTTTTTTCCGACATCTGCTCTAAAGCGTAGTGAAAACGTAATATATGCTTGCATTATTTATGGATAATCAAGAACTTGCTCGAGCGTAGACGAAAGCTGTTGAATAGTGCTAACTACGAGGGTTTAGGTCGACAGTGGTAGGCGGGTTTTCGCTGACGTAAGTCTTCAAGAAGACCGTTGTAGGTGGTTAAAGATATCAACTATTCTATTATGTATGTATCTACACTAAATGTACAAATATTATTTTCACGAATGAGGGGGTAGTTTGCTAATAAAATTGGATTGTAGGGGGGGACTTTGCTAGTATATTTAACACAAAAGAGTTTTTCGACAATTAGAGTAAACATGGGTTGCTAAATGCAATAAACCCAAAATAAACGGGTAAACTAAGCAACCCCTAAACTTGGGCTAAATTACAAAAAATACCCTCACATATCCGTAATTACCAAATTCCCTCTAAAGTTTGTTTATTTCTTATGTCGAGCCCTTAGGGTGTGATTTTTCACGAAATATTTTTGATTCTCGGGATTCACGAAAAATGTTAATTCTACATCAACAGACGCGACATTTCTGTACATTACATTTTAAAGTAAAAAATTACCATCAAAGGGATAACGGTAATACTAAACAAATGTGAATGCATTATTTAAGAAGATTAAAGATTGTGTAAATGTCCTCTACAGGTAATTTTTGTCTTTAAAAAATAACATAAAGAAATGACACGTCTGTAGTGTCACAATCGATATTTTTCAGGAAATATTTCCTTGAATCAAAATAATTATGTGAAAAATCATACCATAAAGGGGTCGATGCAAGACATAAACAAACATCGGGAGGATTTTGATAATTACAGATAGATGCATGCGTTTTCAATAATTTAGCCTAAGTTTAAGGGTTTTTTCGTAATTTATCCAATACAATGAAAATTCACTAATCATCTATAAAAATATTATGTAGGGGTATAATATCAAATCAATAAACATAACAAAATTATCAAAAACTCAAATATATTGTTTAATTAAAATATCATTTCCAACATCATAATCATTAAGGAAACAACTTAAGCTTAAAAGTTAAAACTCATCCATACTTCATCTTACTACAAATATATAGCAACTCCAAATCATTTTTTTTCGATTTTCAAAAAAAAAAAAAAAAAAAACTAATGCAGCGAACTAGGCACGACAGAATTATAATGCTCACCGAGCCCAAAAGCATGCCTATGATACGAAAGCATAATACTCCCCTCGGTCGATTTATACTCCTTACCCATCTCCACATCCGGAAAAGAACCCGAATAAATCATCACATGCTTTTTCAGACAATGCGTCAGAGCCTCGATTTCCAGCTGTCCACCCCATGCAGCCGAACACTCCACTTCCTTACAATAACTCTCAAACCTCTCCATAACCGAACCCTCTTCTTCTTCCCCATCTCCAGCTTTTTCAGACAGATAAAACGGCACAAAATCCGAAGAATGCTTCCTCATATAATCCGCCACCATTTTCCTAAGTTCTTGATAAGTATAACTAGTACAAGAAGAGTGTAGGCTCAACTGATTTTCCACAGCTCGGTATAAACAGTGCCCGTCTGGCTTCATCTCGTTTATTGTGAAACCAAGTGGCTCGAGTTTTTTAGCAAGATTTGCGGTTTCAATCGATCCATCGCTCACAATTTGGCTCTGTTCTTGTTGGATTCTCTGTTCTCTTTCTGCTTCTTGTTGGGCTCGTTTTTCGCGCCTTTTGATGCTCTTGCTCGGCTTTGTTGACTGTTCGGAAGTAGGGTTGACTGAAACTCCGGCGATTGCTTTGACTAGGGTTTCGAGATTTGCTTTTTGAGTGTTGTTGTTGCTGTTGTAGCCAAGGGAAGCGAGTTCATCGGCTTGTCTTTCTTTGAGCTCTGTGGAGAGACGGTGTATCTCTTCGTCCACTTGCTTCTTCTTCGCCTTTTGCTCCGCTTTGCTCCCTTTGGCTGCTCCCTTTTTCATTGCTGTTTCTTTGTTCTGCAGATCACTCGTTTCTTTTCTGAAATTTCGAGAAAAAATTAGACATAGTCATTCTTTTTTTTTTTCTCAAAAAAATAATGGAAACTGTTGTCGTCAAAAAAATTAATATGAAAGATCCGATTTTTCTCGCTGAAATGAAATTTGTATCGGCAATCTAGAGCCGGGATTGAGTACCTGTGTCTAGAAAGCATCTCTTCACGAGATTCTTCCTTCTGCTGAGATAGATTTTCCGAGATCACCTCGGATGAACCATCATCTACTTGAGGATTATCCGCCATTTAATTATCCTGAAAATCAAGCCTTTTTAGTATGTATATCCAACACTGTTTAATAAAGTCAACAAGCACATTTACTCCATATCGAAATACTAACATCTCTAAGACAATCATACAGTGGTAATTCCACTTACAATTCGGCTATGTTTACACGGTGTTTTCTTTCAATCCTAGGCTGTTACAAATTTTATGTCCGTGTCAGAAACGGGATATCTTACCTTTAATTTATTATATTCGGAAAGCAAATTTAGGAAGCCCACAAAGACCCGTCATTTAAAAAGAATCTTTGACGACGTAGTGTCCAGATCAGACATTTAATACGATATGATTTATTAGTATTTTTACCGATGCGGTGAAAATAAGGAAGCAATGTCACATTCACTAGTCTCCCATAGCACGAAAATGGAGATTCATTGATGCAAGAAACGGGAAAAAAAGAAAAAGAAAACGAAACACATAGTCTCGACTATTAGGGTTAAGAAGGTCTAGGTTAGACCATCGAACATTTGAAACGATCCCCCCGATGCATGTATATCAAATCAAGAAAAGTTCTGGTGATGTTATGCTTTATGGTTTCGTCTAAATAGCAACCATTGTAAAATCTCATTCGTTCGAAAATCATAGCAAATACATAACGAATCTAGAAAGCCACGAGGCATCATTCGTCTTAACCATGGTTACACATAACCAACTATATAGACTACAGCATCTCAATCATCGATCGGTAAAATAATTCGAAACACAGATAGATACCCATGTCGATAGCCGAAAAATATATATACGAACTTTACCAAGTAGATATCCACCAAAACAACACTGAAGCTAGAAAACTATCATTGGAGATTAATCATTTCCTTTAATTAAAATTAGAACTAAATCAAGCAAAACCCACATACAAATTCGATTAGAAAATCAATTCACTGTTAAAAAAAAACCCTAATCCAATTTGAAAACAAAGGGAAAACGAAGTACAGCGCCGCCTGTGGATTTAAGTAGGGTTTCATGAAATAAATATACAGATTCTATCTATTAACAATAAAATTGAAGCCGATAATAGTTTAATTGCATATACGCGCGAGAAAAAAATGAAGAAATTAGAGTGAACCTGGTCAACGCGCCGGCAGGCGGCGATGGAGAGGGCGGAGGCGGAGGCGGAGGCGGGTTTCCAGAACAGTGGTATCACTTTCTTCTGGTTTGTGTGTTGTCTTAAATATTGAATTTAGTATTATTCTTTTTTTTTTTCCCTTTCTTTATTATTTTTCTTTATTAAATATTTTTTATAATCCTAGGGTGGATTTTTTTCATACCGAAACATTATTAAACAAATAAAATAATTAGAATTATATTTTTTATAATCAAAATTTTAAATGAAAATGGAAGATAATGAGTTCTAAGTATGCAAATAAATTATTTTTAGTGAAAATTAGTTATGCTTTTTTAGTATGACAAGCATATTTGCATTGTGTTTATTAGTCGTAATGTGATTTATGTAAATAATTTTTATTTTATAATTAACTTTAAGTAATAGATCATGTTATATGTAAATAATTTTTATATTATAATTAACTCTAAGTAATAGATCATGTTAGGTGAGTAAATCACATATAAAAATATTTATGCCTTAAATATTAGTTTTTTTAGAATTTAAAATATATTTTATGACTTAAATTACTTTAAAAATAATTATCAAATTTGGCATAAATTGTATTCCAACATAAATTGATAATTACTACTACGATACGATACGTATCCATACCAAATGTTTTATTGGAGAATAGCGATGAATTTTACGGTATAGAAATTTCGATAATAGTAAAGATATGAGGGGTTTGATAGGACGACGGTTCCAAACACACCATTAACCAAAGTTGCATTGTCACTCCCCAAAGTAATTTCTCCAAACTAAGTAATTTTACATGTTTCCCAATGCGACTATTAAAGTTCAAGTTTGATTGTGATCGAATTTTGTTCGTCGGTGTGATGATGTCAGCCTAATCTCATTTACGTCAGCCTTTAGCTTCCGCCATAATTTTAGTCGGACGTTGTTCTTGCAAAATTAAGAGAAGTATCCCGGTGTAGAAACTCCGACGATCAAGTTAGAAAATGTGTTCTGAATGTACATTATGTGTTCTTAGTTCAAAAACATTAGAGTGTAAGAGTTTGAGTAACCCTTTATTTTATATGTATTTTTGTGCCTTGAGATCCAAGTTTCATTAGGCGTTTTAATCTAATTATCTCTTGATTTTGAGCTTGACGTGTTTAACGCGTTTAGGTTAAATGAGCTTCATCTCGCCTAAATCACCGACTCGACGTCGTAACTAGGGTTTTGCGCCTTGACCTCGTGTAGCATACAACTCCCTAAATAATGAGTTTTCAGGAGTAGTTTGCTAAAAATAAGATAATAAGGGTTGTTTGGTAATATTGATAAACATTGAAATTTCAAACTCTAATTCAACAGAAGCATGATTGGCCCAATGGGTTGGATTTATCATTGTGGGCACGAACTCCAATTGTATGGGCCCAAGCACCAATTTGTCTATTTAGGTTTTAGGAGGAAAATTTTCATTTTCAATTTTTGTTTTACCGAATCATAATTTAGGCAACTCAAATTAGAAAATTAAAATATAACTTTATTTTTCAAATTATTTTTATAAAATACCATTTTTCCAAGATCTTAAGACATGATTTGACTGCTGCATGGTTTTTTTTCTTAAAAACCTAGGGAAGAAACAAATGGAATAAAACGGGAAGAAACAAATGGAATAAAACGGGAAAAAACAGAGAAAAACCCCCGAGTCCCGGTGGCTATGTGCGTGCACGAACAAGAAGACGTTCATGTTGGAACTTGGAATTGAAATGGGAAGAAGCCGCCGAGTAGATATTGCAATTGGTTCCCTAAAAATTAGACTATTAGCAAAGCATACAAGGGGTAATTCTGACTTTTCCCATAAAAAAATCCTATCATTAGCCGCACAAATGCGAGTGCGCAACACAAACTCGATCTAAGGGATACTTTTTCTGCAATTCAAGATTGCACAAGAGTACTATTTGCAATTTAGTCATATATTAAATTTGGTTCTTTAATTAGTGAACTTATCTCTAATTACATAACTTGCATCATATTTCTTTTTTCTGCTTTGTGTTTCTATTTTGAAAGGGAGACAATCTGTACATATTTGATATTTACAATATGGTCCCTAAAGATTCACAATCTTATCCTAACATTCCTTTCTCTTTGTCTTTTGGCTACGTTCGATGTTCTCGCATGCATCACCTCATTAAAAGTATTTGTCGGAAATTCGATTAGTTCAATCATCGTTTTGGATTTTTTACTTCGTTTTCTCACCTCCAAATACGGTCCTTCGTCTACATTCTTGATTAAGGGTAGTTTCGGTACGGTTACAGAATATTTAGCTCAATACCGTGTGTACTTCCTGTATTTTGTGGTATTGAAAATTTTCATATATAATGTTACCGTACAACAATTTCAGTATGCCGTTACTTTCGTTACGGTAAATACTCTACCGTTAATTTTAACGATGATGATGGAGTAGCATGATAAAATAATTAAGATGTGTATAACACAAAATTGCAGTGCAGTACAATATTACCATAAATTTGAAAATGCAATACCGCTACCGCAACATATATTAGTGGTGCGAAACCAATATTTTACCAAATTATGATTTTATATACCACTTTTGTGCAAGACCAGAAAGTCATTGTCACATAGATGTATCATGAAAACAAAAATAATGAATCTCAATTTAATCAATACATATTTTGAAATATTGAAATGTCAAAACATGTTACCCATTACTAATAAATTAATTAATTACAGCCACAATTTCCCTTGATTGATTGATATATTAATTATTTTCAATTAAAGTGACAGCATACATATAGATGTAGCAGCCCACCCCCACCAATATTTAGATATATAAATAAAGTTGAGAACTAAACGACTAAAAAAACCATTAGCCATCGTCAAAATATTAATTTTTAATTTTGTATTTTAAATTGCCTCATCAATAATTGAAGAGACCAAAAACTCATTCAACGTTATGAAAATTAGAAAATTATTTAGAAAGGCAAATTGCGTATGAAATGCATAAAATATTAATTACAATAGGTTAACTATGGAAGACAAATTCGATTTATCGATTGTTGGCAATAATATTCGACTTTGAGTCAATTGACACAAATTCACTTTAATTTACTCGAATCGATAAATCATACTTTGCGGACATATACATGTGTATTTATATTTATAATTGAGTAATCTGCAAAAGTACCACTATGTAATCTTCAAATAGCAAAAACCCCCTTGTGATAAATAAACTAGCAAAAACCCCCCTGTGGAATTTAGTCAAAGGCAAAAACTCCCCCGGTTGACTTAAGTGTGGCTCACTCGCGGGTTGCGCGACTGGTAGTAGGTTTTTGAACGTGACATGACGAAATTGACCATAAAAATGTATTTATATGTATATATATTATATGTATATATATTTTCCTTTTAATTTGATTGTTTAGAAATTAAAATATTCTTAAAAAATAGTAAATAATTAAATTTAAAAATTATTAAAAATTTATTAATCAAATTAAGTATAGATTTTTTTAAATACATAATAACGGAATTTAAATTTTCTTTTGATGTAGCAATAATTTAAAATATATACAAAAATTATGTGATAATAAAAATAAAAATAAATTAAAGACCCCATTGTACCTTTATAATTAAGATATAACAAAAATAAAATAATTAAAATATTTAAAAAATATAAGAATTTATTAATTGTAAAATCTCGGGGGTATTTGTGTCTTTTATATGAAGTCAACACTCAAATGATAAATAGGACGAGTGTGCTATTTAAATAATTTCACAGGAAAGTTTTTGCTAGTTTATTTATTATAGGGAGGTTTTCGCTATTTAAATGATTACACAGAAGTACTCTTTGCAGTTTACTCATTTATAATTAGTAGGTAGACTAACATGGTGAAAATTATTCCCGTGAACAAAAATAAATAAATAAAATACGCATAGCATGAAACATAATGGTATTAAGTCAATTACTATATATTGCTTATTTAATTGCATGGTTTCTCGATAAAAAGTTTGTATTAACCTTGCAAATTGGTTATTATTTATTTCATACATGAGTATTAACTAAATAATTATTACAATAATAATTTCGTGTTTTACTTTTTTTTTTCTTTTCTTAATAATAAATATCTTGTTTTATCTAAATCGGGAGGATTTGACGGAATAGTACGGCACCGAAATTCATCTTATTAAGGCAATGTCTGCAAAAACTTATTTAAAAGTA